TCTTAAAACATAAAACTTTGTACCCCTTTATCAAGATCAAAATCCCCTGCTATCCCGTTCCTCTCCCTCCCGGTCCACCCTCAGACTCCTTGCAGAAGGATGGCGACGCGCGGAGCTGCTCTGCCCATTCTCCTTGCTGTGCTGGAGACCGGGGGGAGAGCGGGGAGCAGAGGTTGTTCCTGACACTGAGCCTGGAGCAGTGCTTCCATGACAACAAATAAGACGTTACACGTTGGAACCGTGCAGCGATAAACTAAGCCTAACCAGGACTTGAAGAAGAAGGCCAGTTTTCACAGAACACTGCTACTCAGAAACGCTCAGGTGAAACCAGAATTTCTTGGCATGCCCCAATACACTGTGCAGTACTGGGGGGAGAGAGGAAGGTGAGAGGGGCAGAATTCTTGTTTTTCGCTAGCTGGGTTTCACTTCCAGAGGCAGTCTTCAGGGCTTTATGGCAATGGTCTCCACTAGCTGCAGAATGGTGGCAAATGGTGCGTGACCCAATCTATCTCCCTGCATCTGAAGACAATGCCCATTTCCAAGGTACAGCACTGTGTCCTGCCATTCAAAAACAAGAAACCTCACGATTTCAAGTAATTCAGCAGGACCCATATTTGACCTCAGCACTATGCAGTCTTGGGTATCCAAACTCCTCCGAAAGGAATGTCAAGGGGTGAAGGGATTCTGAGCATAGCAATGCATAGGATGATATAATGAAACTGAAGTGCCAGCTGGCAGGTTAATGCATTTTGCCAAACTAATTTAGCACCCACCAGGCCACTAGTGAACTTACTTGAAAGAAACTGCTTGCTCTCAGCTTTTGGATCTTCCATCCCAGATTACATTGGACTGAACTCAACTATTTATTCTGATTATAAACTTTCTGGTGAGTAAAGAACTGTGCCTGAGAGCATGCACTAGTGGATAGGCCCCTACCTGGTGGTCAGGAGCTTTGGGCACCATTTCTGACTAGATGATTTTTAGGATGCTGCTTTCTGGATTCCACCATCATGGGTGTTATCTTTTTGGGCAGGAACTACAGGTACTACCCCACTTTTGTGTTTCACAGACAAGCTCTAATACAAACTTCAGTACGTACACGCTCTTAAGGAGAAGGCTTTGGACAAGTTGTCGTGATTACCGAGAGAGACGACTTCCATCTGCATGACCCTGAAGGTTGGCCTACATTTGCCTAATGCGTCCTATAACCCCTTAAAATTTCATAATATATGCTCTTCTGAGCAAATGCACTCCTACAAGAGCAGATGGGTCACAGGCAACCAGACTCCACCCCTCCTTCCTCAAGTGCCCACGTGGCATTTAGCTGCAGGTGTCCTACATCTGACAAGCCTGGTCAGGAACCTGCCAGGCTTTAACCTCCATCTTCAGACAATGCTGACACAACCACTCTGGACAGAAGTACAGTACACTGTCACTGTACTAAATTTGTTCAGAATTATGCAGTACTGATGGTCAACCCATTGTGCCCTGAACAATTTACTTAGAAAAAAGCTTTATTAAAAAGAATGAATAATTTTAACAGTTAATCCTCCCCCACATTTTGTTTTACAGTAAGAAGTTTATCCAGAAGTAAAAACCGTAAGAATGCTGACAACCTGGACATAGCTAGTAAAATTTAAACTTCTTATTTTTTTAAGGTGAGGGGAAAAAAAACAGAGGTAACAGCTACAGTAATTAGGACAGAAACGTACATGTTTTGACCATGCTGACTCGATTCAGCAGGTCACCAGCCAAGACTGAAGCAAAGAGTGTAAAAAAAAAGTGATCTTCACAACAGAGTAACTGGACCTTCTCATTCTCAGTGGGAAGGTGAACAGCTTTTCTAACCATCACCTATTCTAATACTGGTTGTCTGAAAACGAAGAGGTCCATTTGCCACATATCAGTGTCCGCTTAGTGCTAAACTATTCTAAAATCAGTTTTGCTACATCGCTAGTCAAAAAACAAACCTAACAAAGATGCTGGACAAACAAGTACATTTCACAAATGATATTAACTTCAGGTAATCTGCATCATCTAAATAGACTTGTAAAATATTCTTTTTTACAACACACAGAGTTTTGAGTATTGATATTTTCATTTAACTACCGTATCACCTTGTACTTAGAATAGTGTTTTTCATCCCAAAATGTGGTCACTCCACCTACCTGTAGGATGAAGGCAACTATACGCAGTGATGAAGAGGAACTATACAAAGCCACATAAAACATTATGAGAAAACACAATCAGAACAGCAGGGGAAACAAAAGTTTGGAAGAATCCTGTTATCTAGATTAGTATCTGGCCAGTAAATTGGGGTTAGCATTCTATTCTCATACATGAACAGAAAAGGACCCCGCTTTAAATTTCAGTGAACAGATGGTGAAATCCCACTTCCTGCTACTTTCATGCTGGGAGAGTAACTCTGTGCTGCATCAGCCAGGAGACCGACACCTACAGAGCTGCGAGAACACTCCACATGGAAACTGGCCTCTCCTGGGAGGTCTCCTAACCAGGACCCCTGCCATATCATTTAAAGAATACAACACGCTCAAATTTGAGATGGCTTTGGAAATTGCAGGCAGAAGCTGATGCACTGTGCCTTGATCAGCCTAATGCAAGATAATGTGTATATTTTCATGCCTTTATACTTAATAGTATAAGCATTTCAGTGGCCTCCACGATAACGACAGATCATGTGTGGTGTCATCATCACCCGCGTAACTACCCAGAGAAAGCTGTAACAAAGTTACGGTGCAGAAGACATTAGTGAATAGCCCACCAAATGCTATTAAAAAAAGAAAAATATGTCATTTCATTCAGGACTAATGTCATCAGCACACAGATCTCTCAAATTTGCAGGGGTTTGCATCAGCTTCAAAACAGCAACACGGGAAAGTGCAGGAAGGAGGAATCGAAAAAACTGTGAAATAGACAAAGCTAGATCCTCCCTTCTGAGAACAGATACAGGCAAACATGCAAACACCAGCAACGTAAGGCTGGAAAAAAATGTAGCTGTATACATCTTTGAAAAGAATCAGGTGCAATGGATTTTGGATAGGTCACAAAACCGGTGGAGAGGCTTGCGTGACTGCTATGGGTTTTAAGGCTCTTCTTCAAGACCAGTCCTGAAAGGTGATGTGGTCTCCTCCATGTAGGAGCTTTAGTGGCTACTAATAAAATAGTACAAACTTACCTTTGTTGAAATCTTCTTGCAATAAAGAAGAAATAAACCCGCAAACCGATTTCAAGGAAAAGAATAACTTGCTTTTAAACTGTGTGCAATTTTTGTTTTAAAAGGAAATTTTTCAGAAATGCGATATTTAAACAAAAGTGGCAAAAATCCAAAGAATAAAGATCATATTGTTGCTGAGCTTCATTTTGTTAAGCAAGTGAAACATCAGAGCCCTCAAATTTTCATCTACTTCATATTTCAGTCTTAGAAAGTGTTACATCAGCATAGTCGCCAGGTAAAGCTGCTAGTTTATTCTAAATGGACTTTCTTCAGACAGTGGCACAGATGATGAGTGATTGTCCAATTCTGAAGCTATCAGAACTGAACGGATTTAGCAATGTCATAAACACCTCTCGAGGGAGTCACCTGGTGTTGAGAACTCACTTTACATGCCATGTTTCAAAATGAGTTTTAATGGATTTACATTAGATTCAAACCCACTTTAGAGCTATTATTTCTCCCTTTCAACCTTTTCACCCACTACTGCAATGTAATACAGCATATACTATAATCACATGTTTGCAGGCCCGTGGTAAAGTAAACAAAACTTCAAAGGGTTATTATTTAAAGGCTCTGTATTACAGCCGTAGGCCTGACTGTTATTCTTCCTCACCACCCCTTGGGCCCAAAGTACATAATCATCCAGTAATTGAACTGAAATGTCTAAATGGCTAGATCCCCTGAAGGACATAGGTAGTTAGCAGCGAAGAAAGTAAGGGACATTTAAAAAAAAAAACCTCATGGCACTTCCCTACGCTACTTAGAAATACTATGTAAATATAGCTGACCTGGACCTGCCAGGCTCTGGCAGAAAACAGAACAATGCAGGGGTATTTCTGGGGTTGTAACTAAAGTAGAGATTAAATGTAGAACCTCACTGTGTTTGGAAGCAAAGATCTTACATTTAAATTACTTGCAGAACTGAGAAGAAGGAAGAGAAATACAGAGGTACACAGAAGTATATATAACACAATAGTATCACTAATACCATGTGAAAGCAAACCCCTCTAGGTCCTCATATTTAATAGCCCCTCCAAAAAGTGTAATGGATAGCAGATCCCAGGCTTTCATACACTGTAACTGTCAAAGCACTCAGGAGATAGAGAAGTGAAGGCTCTGACAGCTCTCTTTTACATTCTAAATGACATCTGCATTCAACAGAACAGAAATAAAGATTAAGGGAAACACCTGATATGATAGCACTCGGCTTACCTCAAAATGCAATATTTAAAAAGTACAGAGAAACACAGGTCTGCCTGCTTGTACGGTAAGTAAGAACTGGTGTCGAAGCCTCAGAGGCCTTCCCCGCTGGCAGGCAGGCAGGTACCGCCGCGTCCCACAGACCGCAGGGGCAGGAGCCACAGCCTCTGGCTACGCAAGGCGTGAAATCAAAAGGGGTTTTGCCCCAGAAAGGGAGGGAGGAGACGGCCTTTGAACACGCACAGAAAACAGCTACGGGTACAGTCATACAGCGGAGGAAAATTAACTTGGCCAAAACCTCTGCAGCCCTTCTGGTACCTGAGTGAGGAGCAGAACGGGCGTCGCTGATTGATGGCGCCCCACCGACTCCGTCCCTTCCGCAGCACGCACCCACCGCACATCTCCTGCCAGAGGTTATGAGCAGCGCGGCTCCGAATGAAACACGTCAGCATCCGGATCACGAGAGATGATTTCCAATAGATTTCTGCCGGTTGATTATATAAACGATGCCTCTTATTGCTGGAATAACACCTCAAAGGCAAGATAATGACGACATGACAATGTATGTAAATCAAGAACTGCATGTGGGTTTATTTTACACTTGAGAAAACAGTGGATTTAATTGTGTGAACCAAAATGTACTGTACAATATTAATGATAAAACATCAAAATGTATAATTCATAGTGCATTGCTTGCTTTATTTTTATTTATTTATTTTTTTGTCAGATAGTTCCTTTAAGTACATGCATCTGGAAAGATGCAGGTGCCAGTAAAATTCCTCTATTTATATCAAGCTGCAGGAACTAAATTTTATTCAAAAAGTGTGGTTTTACATTATATACACAGAAATCGAATATAAAATGACAATATAAAAAGTTAAAAGAGAAAGCATACAGCCAGAAGGTACAAAGAAAGTTGAACAGTTTAAAATGGTACGATATGTAACATGTATTTTTTTAAGCTGATGCTGGCAATTTACAAGGAACAGAATCCAACATTTGCCCCATTTTTTTGTTTTCATTTACCAATGCAGCACACTATAGAAAGGTCAGCTTGTACCAAAGCTTAACATTTGTAAATAACTATAAACTGCAGTATTTTACAGGAAAAAAAAAAAAAAAAAGGAAAGAAATGAAAAGAGCATTTTTACACTTGTTTTAAATAACAGCTTGCATACTTTTTTTTTTTTTTTTTTTTTTGCCAAAAAGTGGCAATTCTCAGCATCCAGAGGGTTTGGGCATAGTGGCAACTTGGTTTGTTTTTTTTTTTAATTATTATTTAACTTATACAGTTGTGGCTTCCTAACCCCTTGAGTACTACACAGCTCTCCTTCTTCCAAGGACTGCATGCACAATTTCTTCACAAACCAGTTCTGCATTAAAAAAAAAAAAAAAGAAGCTCATTCATTTAAAAAAAATAGGTTCTGCTTCCGACACAGCTTTTATTTGAATGAAATGCCTTTAAGCCTTATGTTTTGCTTTGTTTTTCCTTATTTACTTATTTAGTCACTGGGAAAGGCACAGAAATGCTATTACAGTTCTCAGAGGGTTAAAACTTGACACTACCAGGTTCTGTGACCTTTATTGTCATGGCAACTTTGTAATTTTAGGATGTCTCTTTATCATTGTTCTTTGTGTCTTTCTTTACGGCTAAATTAATGTCTCTCAATAGTGTCTCCCGCTATATTCTACAAAAGATAGCTTAACATCAAGGACAGATGTTGAAAATAAAGGTCAGACTTTGACTCACAAAAAATAAAAACAGAAACAAAAAATAACCATGCACAGATCAGACAAAGAGCATATAAATATAACTACAAAATAAGTGTAAGAAAAACCAAGGTCCAGATAGGCAGTTCAGCAACAAAAGTAAGACTGATTTCAGAGGCTCAGGTCAGGCCTAGTGCAGTACTATGAAGAAGTTTAGTGCAATGTTCCTGTGGTCACTTGCATACCTGGCTGCTTACCTGGACGCTATTGTTTTTCTAACTCAGTTACATAGATCAGATGGTCCTCTGGGGACTTGCCATGTGTTTTACTAAGGTGCAGTTTGACTGCATGCTTGCTTGCAAAAGTTCGGTTACAGAGCTTACACTGGAATGTGGAGCCTAAGTCCTCCTCGGCAATTCCAAGTGAGCCCAAAGTCTTGTTTGTGAGGACTTTTGAAACATTCTGCTGTTCTTGAATCTGGTTAAGTGGCAACTTTGACAGATCCTTCAAACTAAACCCTAGGTGTGTCTCTAAGTGACTTATGTACGTAGAAGCAGTCCTGAACTGAGAGGCACAATCATTGCAAAAGAAAACAGGATGTCCTGTGTCCAAGTTCTTTAAAAATTTAGTTCCACCTGTCCTCCTTAACTGATATTTCACATTGGCCAGCCAGTGGCTAATTGTGGTCATGGAAAGACCAGTAAACTTAGAGATGTGTACCCGCTCTTGTGGACCTAGGTCCGACATAATGTATTTGCCTTCTGGGGTCTCCCTCAAGCTGGAAGCAAACTGGGCTTGAAGGATCAGAAGATGCTGAGGGTTCCAGTTGGACTGTCTGCCCTTCCTCTTGTGTACTGGCGACAGTTCATCCAGAGCTTCCTCAAAACTGCTCCCGTCAGCATCAGACTTCTCTGACACGGTAGACGGAGTTGAAGACTTGGGTGTCAAACGTCCTGTGAGGTTCTTCACCATATCGGAAATGTCCAGCAGGGCACTCTCCCTTAGCGGGGATGAGGCAGAGTCAGCCACGCTGGAAACAAGAGGTTTGTTTTTGGACTTGGTTAAATCAATAGGTTGATCACTGTTCTCATAGTAATACCGGTCAATGGCATCAGCCTGCTTGACCGGAGTGGTTGGGTAAATGGGTTTGTCCAACATGCTGTTGCTAATTTTGTACAGCATGGCCAAAGGGTCCAGAGAGGGGCTTACCGGCTTAGAGATCTTGCCTAAGTGGGTGTTCATAATGGACTGCAGAGCGCTCAATGGATTAATGAAGGATGGCTCAGGTGAATGATCTGTGATGATTCCTAAATTGTTACAGCCATTTGCAACCTTTGCTTTAAGTGGCTCTGTACCATTTGGCGTATGTGCTTCTGCTGGACTATCCTTTTTGACCTTCTGAACTTCTGTCTCAGAGCTTTTCTTCTGCTGCTGCTTGTTATTTATTTCTTCTGCTTTGGGGAAGTCCTTGTTTTCTTTAGCAGCAGGTGACATGGGTTTGACTGGAGAACTCTTCTCTTTCTCCACAGGCTTTTCTTCCTTCTTCACGTTGATTTTACCGGTAACTTTCTCCACTAGTTCCTCCATAGCAGATACATTGCTCTTGTGAGGCGGGGGTGTGAGACTGCCCGGGGAATGGATGAGGGCGTTGTGTTCTGAGGACAGTGATTTTACGCTGCTGGCGTAGGACGGCTGCATCTGAACGCTCTGCACTGCGGGCTGAAGGGGTTTGACTGTTCCTGGGAGCTGGTAGGCTGCATGGATACTGGGATATCCTCCCCAGGAAGGTGCTCCGTTCTGAGCTTTGCTGATAGCTGTTGTCACCGTGTTCTCCAGGGATTTCAATATGTCAATTCCGCCTTTAGGACTATCATCTAGGTCCTCCTCTCTGAGGTACTGGTACAAAGTTGTTGGCTCAAATTTCTCTGTAGAGTCCTCATTCTCTTCTTTAATCTTTTTCTCTGTTTCACTGACCACCACCTTTTCCTTCTCTAGGTCCTTCTTTTCCTCCGAGTTTGTAGAGCCCGCTGGGGAATCGGGCTGCTTTTTAATGTTGGAGGCTGGTAGCCTTGTGTGGGTGGTGGGTGGAAGAGGTATAGACTGTATCTTCTCCTCCACCACAGGGTCCAATACTAGCTGTTTGCCTTTTTTGGAAGCAGAATTGGTCACCTTCAAGAAATGACCGGTGACCATCATGTGAGCAGTGAGCTGCTGCAAAGTGTCATGGGAACTGCCACATTCCATGCATTTCAGTATTTGGGCTTTGCGTGCCTCAAACTGCCAAGTGTAGCTAGCACCATTTTGATAGCCATAGCGGTTGTTTGGAGTCACGTAGGGGTTGGCAGTTTTCTGATCCTTTGCAGACTCACCCAGGGAAGCTTCTGCAGTGATCCCTGTTGGCTCAGGTGAACAAGGTGAAGCTAAGTCCTGAAGTGCTCGCTTTTTGGTAGAAGGGACCAATTTAGTGATGGCTGGTACTGGCTCCTTCAGAGGCACTTTCTGGTAATGCTTTGTTTTTATCATATGGACACTGAGGTCCTGTAAAGATTCAAACGAATGCCCACAGTACATGCACTTCAGCACTTTTTGGGCATCCTCTTTGCCTTCCATTTCCATAAGTGATCGTTTTCTAGGCTTTGACCACCGTTTGGTCTTGTCGGCTTCTTTATCTCTGTTGTCATCACGGTAATGTCCAGTTTCGTTCATGTGCACTGTCAGCTCCACCAGCGTGTCATAGGCTGCGCTGCAGTCTTTGCATCGGAACTTGCTAGCACCGGTGAACACAGACCCATAGAGTTTATTGTTTTGCCGGTAAAGCTGTACCGTGCTGAAAAGACTAGGCTCTGGGAGAAGTCCGTACGACGAGGTCTGCTGCAACGTTTTCGCCAGTGCAGCTTGGTGCCAGTCATAGCCTGAGCCACCACTGTTGCTATTACTGTTACTAGTATTACTGGTAGTTGTACTGGTACTGGTGTTGGTACTGGTGGTACTAGTACTCTGGGAACTGGCGTTGGTGTCAGTACTGGTGGTGTTCTCGTTCTGGCTGACGCTGTTGTTGCTGGTGGTCGGATTGGATTTCTTTAAGTCCAAAGCTAAACTGGACCAGCAAGTCTCTGAAAGCAAATTTGCATACACAGCCTTTATTTGTGCCAAGCTGTCCTGTGGATAGGAAACATTGTCTGTGCACTGAGGATCCTCTTTCTCTTCTTTAGAGGAAGTGCTTTTGAAATGGGCCAGCTGATCGCTGTTTTCACTAAACGGCGAACCATAGCCTGCATCCTGATTAGTTGCAGTGCTGACTGGGGAGTTCTGGTAGCTTTGAGCCTCTTTGATCTCCGCTTCTTCATTGCACAAATACTCATTCTCCTGGATGTCCAGAGACAGCCCATCATCTTCCACGCTGTCTTCATCTATTTCTGCTGCTTTCAATTCCTCCTCAGGAACATATGCTAAAATACAAGAGGGGAGAGGGGGGAAAAAAAACAAGACAAAGTTATCAAACACGCACAATTTACATCATTGCTGTCTTCTGTACTAAAAGAAGTAACCATAAAGACAACAAATTTTGAAGATACATCCAGAAACCAAACTCACCATCACTCACCCAGTCCACCTATAAATCCACATACTCTGTCCTGGTTGCGGTTTGATATCAGCGCTATCTAAGAATAAACTTTGACTTCAGCAGTAAAATATGTGCCAGGACCACAGCAGATACCATAATATCAAAACCAAAATCAAACAGAGAGCCCACTAAAACAGTTTTTATCAACTTAAAAAGTGGCCTGGCACTGAGCTATGTTTACCTCCCCACGTACGTGCAACCCGTTGCAGCTGACCTGCACTCCTCAGACCTAGGCACTCAGGACCATTGGCTTGGCCACCTCCGTCTCACCAGGGCTGTCTTTTCTAGCACACTGGCTTAAGCTACAGCTTCCAGGGCCTTTTCTGTGCCACTGACACCTGACCCCAGCAGAGCTATACGGGGCAAGTGTGTCAGGTCAGCTGTTGCAGGGTCTCCTGGTGGCCGGCCGTACTGGGTCCGTCTGAGAGCAGAACAGCTTTCGTTTGCCCAAGGTGAAAAGAGAAGCAAGACTACGATTGTTTTCTGAAATGGCTAGGATATGCCATTGCCTCCTGTTACGATCTGATGCGAGTCCTGCATTTACCGTTTTGAAAACAGCAGTCAGCAACTAAAAGTAAATGTTACAGATTAATTTTTAAAGGCAACAAAGAAAAAACTTGAGACCTCCATCCCAGCTTGATTATTGGCTTATATAAAACTTTGCTTTTGTATTGCTACCTGGTGAAACTATATAATCTTACCAAACTACGTGTTTATCTGTATCAGACTATTTTTTAAACTAGCAAATGTGATATTCATGAGCAGATGGCCATTACATCAAAACACATTTACTCCAAGGGCCCAATTCACAGAAGTGGCTTACATGTACCTAAGTGATAAATGTACACTTTCATTGCGAAGCAGAAAACATACTTGCACACATTTCCCTCCAGTTTTGTAAAAGAAGCTTAAGAAAATCACAATGATAATGGAATGCAGATCATTTATAAGCATGTCAAGGTACAAAACATGGATTGTGAACAATTTTCAGTAATCAAATAAAAAATGCCTTCTTGTCAGGTGAACTGTGCAGAAAGTGATGCTGAAATGTGGCCTATGTCCTTTCATGGTACAATACTGAAAGAAAGCCAGAAAAAAAGGCTCTTCTGCTCCTATGTGGTATGAGGAAAATATGTATTATCATGTTAACAAAGCTGAGGTCCTCTTCAGTTGGGGGAAGTGTAAGTACAAGTTGAGCTTTTTGTACACAGTTGCTAAAATATTTTGAAGCTTTTCTGAAAAATAGAAAGAATCTTCTCTCATTGTGATATGAACACTCTTTGAAACTTTTTTTTTTTTTTTGAAAAGTAATAGTATTATGGCCAGTACAGCATTCTGTATTCACCTTTGCAATTCAGTCTTAATGCAGCCCCTAAGTATTTCAGTCTGATCTGTTAAGATAAAGCATGAAAGTAGTCCATCTAGTACTGGGGTCGTGCTGAACCTTAAGATGCCCACTTCATCTTTCATCTGTCCTCTAGGTGTTGGATTTTTTTGGAAGATAATCTGATTTTTGATCTTTTAAAAGGTGTTAAGCCGGGCCCCATTCCTTACATATGCATCAGCCTCAGGTGTTTTCTAATATGTTTAAAAGGACTGGTGAGTACCAAGCACAAAAGAAGTCACTACAGAAATCACTCTGGAGCCAAAGGCCAGGAAGATGCCAGAAAAGCATTGTAAAACCAGAAAAAAATATATTCTTAAAAAGTCATGTAGTGCATAAAATGAAGAAGAAAATACAGAAATAGTACAAGAACTTAGAAGTCAGTCAGCTTCCCAGCCTTGCAGTAATGCTGCTGTCGCAATGCTCTGCAGGTATTTGAGCACGGTGGCACCGCTGCGGTTCTCAACTCTAGGTATGCAAGTAGAATTCACTCCCATAGCTACAGACTAAGATCTCTTAGCTCTCTCATTAAACACACCTGTTTTCAGTCATTTCTAACAGCAAAAGACAATACATTTTTAAATTTCAGAAAAGAACAGTTATAGAAGAATATGGTTTCTGATTCTGAAATTACTTTTAAATAAAAAATTAAAAAACTCTGAGGCCTAAAATGCATAAAAATGGACAGTTACCATCTGGCATTTTTATTAAAAAAAACAACCACAAAACAACAAAACTTAGTAATGATCAGCAGACAGTTCCCAAGTAGAAGCTGTAAACTGCAGGGGGCCGCATTCTGAGCTTTTATGAACAGCCATCTTCCTACTAACCTCAGTGGAACTATGCCAATTTTATCTAATTTTTGCATCCCAGTATTTTTAATAAATAGATGTAAGAAATCGTTGTAAGGTGCTGAATGTTGCTACAGTTGGCACAGTATTTTGCAGGAATACATGTGAATTGTATTTCTACACTGCTTACACCTCTTAATTCTAAAATGTATAAATATATATTTTTACAACTGATCTATATCACCATCTAAATATCTGCTTGAATATAAACTCTAGTTGAGCCACTGCCCTATCTTTTATTTTCCTTCATTTATTTATGATGGCGTGTTTTCTCTATTCTCATATTCTTGCACTTTACCATAAAAATAAAAGGAGCTAAACCACACAAGAAACATTAAAACTACATGAAAGGTCGGTGTTAAACTGTCAAAGCAAAGAAACTGAGTGTTAGGGTGAAATATCCATCTTTCACTTACTTTCCTAGTCTTAGGTTCTGCTGAGAGTACTACACGATTGAGTTCACTCCCTTACCAATATATACTGTAACATAAGAGTTAATGTACGATTGTCCAGGACTCTGATTTTCTATGATTTCAGAATTTAAGCCATATTCTTAAAAAACCTGAATTTACATGATGTTCACACCCACATGTCTGTACAGTTCTAATCTGAAATAACACAGAGAAATAATGCTTCTTAAACAATAACAGACTAAATTATCTGAAATGTTTTATTTCTATCACTGCAATCAAAGGGATTTTATTTAACTCCTTTAGTTACTATAGGATAGACGCAATACCTTTTCATTCAAGACTACTAATGTCTGTAAGATGAATAGCAGCACACTCAACATATGGAATTTTGCAAGGACAGTGCAATTCTCTAACTGAAAAGATTTCTGTTAGAGCTAATTCAGAAGTACACAAAATGAAGAATGTTAATTACTAAAACATATATGCTATCCTAAAATTCCCACAGAAATTTGACAAGTAAGCTTCAGAATTTTAAACATAGCAAAAATATTCCTATTGTAATTACTTGCAGAGACAAGTAATATTATTCTATGTCAAATAAAAGTGTGAGACGTTCAGATTCTCCCCCTAAATTATAACAGGTAGATCAACAGACAGGCAGATTTCAGACAGCGTATCTTTCTGTGACCGAGAAACTCTCAGCAATCTTCTCCAGATACTCCTGCATCTGCAAAGACACTGCTGGTTTACACTAGTCCTGAAACCACACAAAAATACCAAGAGCAGATATAAGCAATGATCCTCCTCAATGAAAACTATATCCAAAGCAGAAGCTATTACAGAATGTAGCATCAGCTTGTCTTTTCCTTCTCATTTGTGCAGGCACAGACTCAGGCAAATGCATGGTAGAAAAAGGAGGAAAAGCTTCAAATTCCAGACAACTGAAAATTAGGGGAAGCAGTTTATATTTCTTTTCTTCTTATTAAGCCTTGCTAATATTTTTTGCCTATAAAATGTGCCTTCTGGATGCCAATGCTTCCCCATAGATATACTGTCATCTTTGAGCAGTGTTAAAAGCTGTGCATTCTAATCTAAGTGGACATGAGACGCTATATATTGTACATGTGAGTAGCACAGCACATTGTGTTTGCTTCACTGAGAATATTTACACTATAAATACACATCCATTGTTCGAAAAAGCAGACCGAGATCTGAAATGTAAGGATGTGGTTAAAAATATAAATATTCTCACATAAAACCTTTTCGTAACCTTGGATCGGTGCTTTTGAAGGAATCTGTCTCTATAGAGGTATTCTTTTCCATTCAAAAAAGGGATTCGGCATTGAACACATTATTTTGAAAAGGACAAAAGGTAATGATTGTATTTGTTTTTAACAGTCTACAAAATTAAATGTAGTAAACTCTTCGAGACCCCATTTAAAATCCCCTAAATAAATAAATTTATTCAGAAGAAACACCTAAGTATTGAAGGCCAGAATTCAGTAAAGCAATTGAACGCTGAAATATTTTTTACTGAAATACGTGTTTCACAGTTTCAACAAATGAAGATGGGTTTAAGTCTAAAATTCTTCACTAAATCAGGGCCTACTCTGGCACTAAACAATAGTGGCACGATGTGAATGTTCACCATTCTTCAACAGATGTATTTCCACAGCTTCTAATATTTACCCAGCCAACAGGAGACAGCAGCTGCAGAAGTTTTCACAGCCCACACTGTCACCTTGCACAAACCGCACTCTAGGCTGGGGGGTGACTTCCCCTGCACACAAGAACACGGTTCACATCTTGGCCAAAAAAGTACGGATAAAAGACAATCTAAAGCCACACATCTCCCTCGTTACAGAGAAAATGAGAGGGAGAAGGAAAAAAAAAAAGCAAAACATTTACAGATACGTTTCCAGAATACAGTCGTGAGAGTTTTTACAAAAGAATCCAAAATCTCACATTGTGAGAGGTTAACATGCCTGCTGGAAGATTTGCGAATTTTCTGTATTAGTATATACAAATGTTCATACAAAATTCTGGCACAGATGCTACAAATCTGTGTGTGTGTCTGTATTACGGTGTCACTACAGTGGAAAAATATGGCTTAGTTATGACAATGGCTGAGGAGCAGCACAGACTATCAGACCACCAAATAACCTTACTGGAGTGGTTTG